ATGTTCGGTAGAGGAAATGCATCCTTCGGGCATGCCCAATTGAGATCAGTGTAATCAACACACATCCGCCATTTTCCATTATTCTTTTTAACTAGTACAACGTTTGACAGCCAGGTTGAGTACCGGGCTTCAGATATAAAATTCGCCTCTAGGAGGTCTCATACATCTTTTTCAGTAGCCTCCGTTTTCTCCGGAGACTGCCTACGCCTACGTTGTACTACTGCCTTAGCGGCGGGATCTACGGCGAGACGGTGACAGGTGACCTCGGGGTCGAGTCCGGGCATTTCCGCAGCGCTCCAGGCGAACAGGTCGACATTCTCGCACAAGCAGGCGTTGATCTGCTTCCTTGCTAGGTCAGGGAGGTCGGTGCCAATCTTCACTCCTTTGCTCGGGTCTGCGCCGAGGGAGACGAGCTCGAAGTCCCCGTTCGGGATTGGTCGGAGGGGGATTTACTCGCTGTTGAGAGGTTCGTCCTGATCGAAGCGAGTATCCAGAGCTATGGAGTCGACTTTTGGGGGAGCTCTCTGGTCTTCTACCTTGGCGGGCTCTGATTTGTCGGGCTCCTGTCGTGTCGTCGCCAGTCTCTTGGCAGGCCTTATCCCGGTATCGACAGTGTCACGTCTTTTAGATGCAGCGTTGAAACACCTTCGAGCAGCGGCTAGGTCCCCCTGGATGGTAGCTACTCGTGCCCTCTTGGTGTAGAACTTCATCTTCAAGTGGACGGTGGAGGGCACCACGGTCAGCCCTGCCAGTGTTGGTCTCCCCAAGATGCAGTTGTAGAGGGACAGGCAGTCGATGACGAGGAAACGTACCTTAACCTGCCTCGTCGCGGTGCCCTCGCCAAAGGTAACCATGAGCTCGACATATTCCCAAGGCTTAGAGGTCGAGCCGTTGAAGCCCTGTAAGTCCGACCCTATATACGGCGAGAGGTGCGAGTCGTCTAGCTGCAGAGTCCGGAATAAATGACTGTACATCACGTCGACGGAACTTCCTTCGTTGACGAGGATGCGATGCACATCAAAGTTATCCATTCTCGCTCTTATCAGTAGAGGAATGACTGCGTTAGGGGCTCCTCCGGGGAGCTCTTCGAGGTAAAAGGTGATAGGCTCCGACCTACCTTTTACCCTTTCAAAGGTCATTATCTGCGGAGGTCTCGAGTCGACCAATTCATCAAGCTTTCTCTTGGCCGAATTGATAGTTAGGTCGTTGAATCCTCCACCATTGATGACCATGGCAGAGGGAAAGTATTCCCACCTACTGTGGGTCGTGAGAGGCTCCTGCAGGTGCTCGGGGACGTAGAAGTCCTTCGGTCTGGTGACGGAGAAGGCGGTCTAGACGGGGACCGACTCGTCAGATGGTCGGGTGTCTTCCTCCGGTTCTCTTGTCTCCCGGGTGTCACGACGAGGAGCGTCGTTTCGTTGGTATTGGGCGAGCCTCCCTCCCTTGATGAGGGTTTCGATGGCGTCCTTGAGGTGGACGCAGTCTTCAGTCAGATGACCATGGCTCCGATGGTACTGACAGTACTTGCTCTTGTCTGCTCTGGGCTTGGCAGGGGCAGGTCGGAGGCGCTTGACGCTGCCGTCTTTAAAATTCGTGCTGGCACACTCTGCCAAAATACGCTCGCGGGAAGCTGTGAGCGGAGTGTATTCGGTAAAATGCCCCGAGGGTCCTCTTTGCTCTCGGACTTCTCGTGGTCTGTCCTCTTTTCTTTTCTCCCCGACTCGTCGAGGAGGGGTGGCTTCCTGGCGCGGGTTGCTGTTGGATCCGTGATTTCTGGGGTCCCGGGCTCTATTGGCCGCCTCCCTTTCCTCGTAATCCATATATGCCCGGGCCTTCTCGAGGAGGGCATCGAACGTTCGGGGCGGCTCGATGCCCACCGCCTTTCTGAATTTTGTGCCGGGGAGGAGCCCCCTCTCCAGCAAGTACCTCTTCATGTGGTCCGCGCAGGGGACCTGTATGGCTTCGCGATTGAAGCGATTAATAAACTCTCTTAAGGTTTCATCCTATCTCTAGATGATGGCCTCGAGTGCTACTTCGATCTTTGGGTGTCATCGAGACGCAGTGAACGAACTTATGAATTGGTTCTTCAGGTTTCACCATGAGGTGATTGATCCCGGGGAGAGGCCTTTATACCAATCCATTGCTGCCTTTTTGAGGGTCGTGGGGAACAACCGACATTTGATGGGTCCCCCGACATTGTGGTAATGCAGCATAGCCTCGAACCCGTCTATGTGGTTGACTGGGTCCGGGACTCCGTCGTACTCCTTCAGATGTGGAGGCTTCTCCATGCCCGGGGGAATGGGCGCCTCCATGATGGCTTGTGACAGGGGACCGCGGGGGTCGTCCTTGCCGCTTCGCTCCGGGGACAGGGATGGGGACCTGAAATATTGTCGTGCCCGACGGTCCTGGTCGTGCTGGGCATCCCTCGAGCGTGGTGCTCGTTGGTCAATTCTTCCATGCCTGTCCCCGGAGTATCTCCTTTCTTGCCGTACGGGGCCATGGTTGCGCACTTCGGCCTCGATGATGGGTTGCCTCTCCAACAGGGGTCATCTCCCCGAGGGTTGGGGCGACGGGCTTCGCGAGGTGTCTTTGTATTGTCTCCGCGGGGGAGACGGGAGATGTACCTCTGTTACTCGAGGAGGTGGAGTCTGAGGCCTCCTGTGTCTCCTCGCGGGTCTTCTATCGTCTTCTAGTGCCCTCAATCTTTCCCCCTGGGCAAAGATGAGGTAATTCGTTTGGTTAATAGCCGTGAATAGTGCGCGGGTTGTGGCATCTGCCCCGGTGGAGACGGGGACTTCCTGAAATTGGGCAACTCGATGGTTTGTGGGAGCTGCGTTGTCTTCTTCGAGCGGCAGAGGGACTAAAGAAGATGAGGCAGTAGCTCCGTCGCGGTGGATTGAGGGCTCGGGGTTGGTGCCTCCGGGGAGTGTGTTATGACCGGGGTTACCAGTGTTGTCGGGGATTTTGTTTTTATCTGCGAGGCCGTTGTTGGTGTCGACGACGCAGATGTTTTGGTCATCCCGAACTTGGTCAGCCATGACGGTAGGAGGTGATTTTGAGCTTTGGTCTTCGAGGTTTTGCAAGACGGGGAAGCTAGGTTTCCACAGACGGCGCCACTGATCTTACCTGATCAGACTTGGACCGTCACGACTGGCTCCGGGCAGAATTTGAGTGAGATGGGGGGGTACCTGCAAGGCACTCCGATGCTAAAATGAGTGACGAAATGAGCAGGCAAAAGTGTATGTATGCGTAAGAGATGAATTACCTGACCCTATAGGAACATAGGGTATTTATAGCCCCTAGCGCGGGGCCAAGGTCCCCTCATTGGGCCGACCATATTTGGCCCAACAAAGGAACTGCCAAGTTCTACGTGTGTAGTGGGGACCCGCACGTGGCCCCCTTCCTGGTGATGCTCTCCGAGAAATGAGGAGGGACGAAGACGCTGTCTTTCCGGAATTTAGATGATTTAGTAACGGTCAGAATCTGCCCTACGAGGAGGGTGCTCGAGCTAGGCTCGAGCTGGAGTTCCTGTAGTCGAGGATACCATGTGTCGCGGGCAACGGCGGGCACGGCTGTGGTCTGTGTCGGGCGCGCTGGCGGGAATTCGCGGGCGTGCGTCCCTCGAGTAGCTGTTTGGATTGGGCCTTTGTAAGCAAGTCATTCACAGTATTTTGCAGTTGCAAAGTAAATAATAAAGTTTTCATAATTTGTGAGCAGAGAGAAACTCTGCAGAAATTATTTGTCTTATCTTCTTTTCTTTGTTTGTCTCATAATTAAATTGTCATTGTGATAGAAATTCATCATAAATTTTAGTGACTTTCCAACATCATCCAACTTTACTACATCTAAAAAAATATTTCAATAAGGCCACATATCTCTTTTAATCTATCCTCATATATAACAATTGTTCTCCCTCATATTTTCAGACATTTACAAAATTTGGAAGAAATACTTAAAATGTACTAATTAACAACTCACATTAAAAGTAAAACCACATTTTCCTTACCCAAAAAAGTACAAAATCACACTTAGCAAAACAAAACAAAAAATCTTAATAGTTAATTTAATTTAATTTCACAAAATAACACTACTGTTTTTTTGATCGACATAAAATAATATAATGTGTGAACGAAGGAATAAAAAAATAAGCAAGAAATATTTTATATTATATATTTTATTTATCTTCACACGCTCTCTTTCTCTTTATCTCTCTTTCTGAGCAATTTCCGCTAATTTACCATTTACTTCACATTTTCCATACTCTCTCTCTCTCTCTCTCTCTCTTCCCACAGTTCCCATTTTCCACTGACCACTTCTCAGCTGAATAATTCCTCGCCAAACTCCTTCGGTCAGTTTCTCAATCTCCTCTTTTCGTGCTTTAGATGATTCGTTTTCTTACCCACGTAGTAGTTGAATTGTTTGATGCAAATTGAAGGCTTGTGAATTTGAAAATTTGATTGCAAAGTTATGCTTTTTACATGGAAATTAAGGTTTTTGGAATCTGGTTTTTTTTTTTCTTTCTGATTTACATGAATAATTGTTTTTTAGTAATTTTTTATTTTGTAATTGGAACATCTCATCTACGAAAGAAACTATTGAATCTTCAGATTTTTTGTCCATGTCATGCTATTTTTTATTTATTTTAATTAGTATATATTCTTTAACAATTGCCATATAAGAAATTCAAGAGTTGATTCAAGAAATTAATTTATTTTTTAGATTTATATGTTTACATGTAAAAAATCATATAAAATGGAAACTAGGTTTAGTTTTTTATTTTATTTAAGTGTCCTATTTAATTTTTAAAATTTTTTTTTATAGAACTAACCCTTTAAAGTTGAATAATTCCATTTTATGATTGAAGAATTTTGAGGTAATTATTCTCATAGTTTTTGCAGTCTTAGCTTTTAACAATATTTTATGTGTTATTTGTTGAGTATTACAGAGCTATTACCAAGAACTTGTCTTAAAGAGCATATTATACCATTCTTAGTTAAGCAATGGTAGCGGCGGAATCATGGTTTCGAAGTCTATGGAAGACGCAACGTAAGGATGATTCTAATTCCGAGAAAGCAGTGATTGGAGTGTTAGCGTTTGAAGCTGCAAAGTTGATGTCCAAGCTTGTTAATGTGTGGCAGTCGTTGAGTGATAAACAGGTTGCCAAGTTGAGGGGCGAGATTTCAAATTCAGTTGGTATCAAGAAGCTTGTTTCGGATGATGATAATTTTATCGTTCGTTTAATCAGTCAAGAGATGCTTGAGAGTATGGCGTATGTGGCTGAATCCGTGGCTAGGCTTGCGAAAAAATGCAGTGATACAAGACTCAAGGATTTTGAGAAGGCCTTTGATAGGTTTATTACCCGCGGTTTTGATTCTTATGGGTGGGTATTGTCTTCTAAGAAAATGGATAAAAAGGTAAAAAGAATGGAAAAATTTGTGTCGATTAATGCAAACTTGTACCAAGAGATGGAAATGCTTACGGATCTTGAGCAAACTCTTAAAAGAATGAAGGTTTATAGTGAGTCGGACGGGCCGAATTTAATAGAGTATCAAAAGCAGGTTGCATGGAAGAAGCTGGAGGTGAAGAACTTGCAGTCTAATTCTCTGTGGAACAGGACATATGATTACACTGTATACTTTTTAGTGAGATCTTTATTTACGATATTCAGTAGTATCAATAATGTATTTGGAATTCACGAGCTAACAAATATCGGTAAAACCACATTTCGTAGTGCTGACCACATTCACGGAAGTCATTCAGTCTCGGAATTGTTGCAACCTTCGGTACAACCGGTGCCAAATAATGTTGCCAGATTTTCTTCCGGACCCCTTGGTCCTTCTACTGCAAAATCAGATCAGAATGTTAGAGCAAATAAAACTGGCATTATTCAACCAGTTGGCGAGTCGTCCACAAAGTCAGGCCCAATTTCAGGAATGTATAAAGGCCTCAATTTTTTCTCGGGCCCTCTTGGAAGGAGTTCGAAAAAACCAGTCCCGGAGAATGGGACAAGTAAAAACAAGTTTTGGAAATTTAATAACGGTCACTCAAGCACTGCAACTGGGAAAGAAAATAATACGAGACACAGTCGAGCAACCCAAGTAGGACCTTTCAAAGGCTGTATTGCAGAAGATAGTTCCTCTGTCATCAACGGTCGCTTAAATCCAAAGGGTGTTCCCTTAGTAACTCAGAATCACAAAGAGGCTGATTCAGAGATTCATACTCATGAAAACGAAGCTCACTGTTCTCAACCGACATTCAGTTCTCTTTGCAAGCTAAAGCCTCCATCTGAATCCCTCGGCGCCGCATCTTTAGCCCTTCACTACGCACGTGTTATTGTTGAGATTGAGAAGCTAGCGGCCTCTCCACACTTGATTGGTCTCGATGCTAGGGACGATCTGTACAACATGTTACCGAGACGTGTAAAAGCTTCTCTCAGGACTAAACTAAAACCGTACTCCAAGGACATGGCTGCAGCTGTCTATGACGCAAGTATAGCAGAGGAGTGGACGGAAGCAATGACGAAAGCATTGGAATGGTTAGCACCACTTGCTCACAACATGTTAAGATGGCAATCTGAAAGAAGTTATGAGCAGCTGAGCTTTGTTTCGCGGACAAACGTGTTGCTTGTACAAACCCTTTACTTTGCGAATCAAGAAAAAACAGAAGAGATAATCACCGAGCTTCTCGTTGGTTTGAATTATGTGTGGAGGTATGTTAAGGAGCTCAATACAGGTATGTTAGAGATTGGCAATAGTGTAGCCAATAATGGCTATTCTATAATGAATGCATAAACAATTTTTCATCAATCTCCTGAGAGCTTTCAGCAGAGGCAATGAAGTATTAAATGAGTATGAGAGAAATACTCACATAATCTATGATATAATTTGTGTTAGAATGCATTATTGATTAGGAATGTGATTATATTTTAAGCATTTAGAGTTATTTTTTCTGAGGAGATCCCATCTGATTTAACATGATCACTGGTCTCTTCTTTGAAAAGTGAACATATATGTTAATTAATTGTATAGTTATATTACCATAATGGTTATTTTTGTATGATATTTGAGTGGTTGGACATGATAGTCTGGAAATAACAGTGGTTGGAGATGATAATTTGGTCTGGAAATAACCAAGTGGATTTGACTTTTCAAATATATTGAATGCATTGGTGTAGTAAAGTTGTGTGGTCAGGAAGCATTATCTTCTTTTGATTAAAAAATGGACCTTTTGCTAATTATGGGAGCTTTTTTCCAAACTTATTGTCATGATTTTTTTATTTTTTTGGGATGTTTTGGTATTAAAATTATTTTATAGGATGGTTTTGCTTTTAGAAGAGCGAAAAGCAATTATAGTGGTGAATAAATAATTTTGAAGTGTTTGATTCTTCTATAGTGGAATTGATTTTGTGTCTAGAATTTATTTTATTTAAAGTTAAAATTTATAGCTTCTGAATTTAATTGTGATTTTTATACTGAAATTTATTGTTTAATTCACTTTTACATATTGTATTCAAACATAAATCAATTATATCAAATTCGATTTTGTTAAAATCAATTTTAAGAAACTCATTTTTGTCAAAATTAATTTTGAACTAAAGTTTTTTTTTAGTTAAAGTATTATTGAGGGACATGCTTAGAACCGTCAAAATAGGCTACCAGAACCTAAATGGATCTACTTTAGTGGACTTCGGACTTTTTAGAGTTGAACCAAAAAAATTCTGCTGTAATGTAAGCTTAAAAATTACTATCTGAGACCGACCTTAAATGAGTTTTAGGTTATCCAGTCTTAAACAGGTTTTTTTATAATATTTTTTAAAAATAATAACCCATAATATTTAATATAAATAAAGTTAAAAATTATATTATTTTAATATAATATATTTTTAAATACTCTATTATTTTTTTATAAATATTATAATGTATTTTTAAATATGATACATGTTTAAATTGTATAAAATAATATTCAAATATATAACATAAGAGAAACCAATATAATATAAGGAAAGATGGTTGATTATATTAATTACTCTTTCCATATTGATTTATAAGCAAAAGTCAATTTTTCAATTAAGAAATTTTAAATGTTTGTGTCTTTTTTGAAATACATCCTCCAAACATATTTATAAACAATAAAAATGATTTTCACGGTTATCAAGAAAAATCAAGTGTAATTATCTTTTTAGATTTTGGTGAAAATATTAATTAAATTTATTAATGTCCTCTTTATTAAATTTAATGGAATGTTGAAAAATAGAATAGAGGGGTATATTAGAAATTACAATATTAAATAATTTAGTAATAATTGACTTTTGCTTCTAAATATTGAAATATTTTTGTTGCTTATAAATCTGTCAGAAAGGTGTATATTTTATTGGAATGTGTAAAAATAATTTCAATTGGTTGTTACTTATAGAAAAAATGAGGGAGAAAATATATTTAGTGCAATTTACATTTAATTTTACATTAGAAAAGATGTATTTTGAAAAAAAGATATCTAAATGAAATTAAATTGATGTTTTTTCTTATAAATTGTAACAAAAAATGTGTTTTTTTTATTTATAAACAGTTATGGAGAGAGTATAATATTTAAAAGAGAAAGATTGAATAAAATAAACATAAAATATAGTAAATTGAAAAAAATTAATATAATATTTTAAAGTAAGACAATATAAATATTAATATAACTTTTTAATAATTTATACGTATTCAAACTTAATAGATTACTTACGGCTTAGCTTTAATGAATAGCGACTTTATAGGGTTGTGCTAAAAATTCATGAAAAATATAAACTTTAATTTTAAAATTAGGTCTTATAATTTTTCAGGTTTGACGGATTGATCCATATGGACCTCATAACTCATTTTGACAGCAATAGACATATTAAAAGTAGTGTTTGAATATATAAATTTATATCATATTATTTTTACTCTAACTTTTATCTTTATTATTGATCTTACCAGATCAGACTTGGACCGTCACGACTGACTCCGAGCTGAAGTTGAACGAGATGGGGGGGGGGAATACCTGCAAGATACTCCGATGCTAAAGTGAGTGGTAGTACGAGCAGGTAAAAAGTGTGTATGTGGGTAAGAGAATGAATACCTGACCCTCTAGGAATAAAGAGTATTTATAGCCCCCAGCGTGGGGCCAAGGTCCCTTTATTGGGCCGACCAAGACTGACCCAATAAAAGAACTGCCAGGTTCTACGTGTGTAGTGGGGACCCACACATGGTCCTCTCCCTGGTGATGCTCAGCGAGAAGTACGGACGGACGAGGACGCGGTCTTTCCGAAGTTCAGATGATGGAGTAACGGTCATAGTCTGCCCTACGAGGAGGGTGCTCGTGCTGGACTCGAGCTGGACTGTATGTGGTCGAGGACGTTGTGTTCGCGGGCAGCGGCGGGCACGGCTGTAGCTTCTGGTCGACGCGCTCCTTGTAGAGTTGTTTGGATTGGGCCTTCATTCTTGCTCTTGGGCCAACCCGGGCCCAGTCCAGAACAGGAGCCCCCCAAGTCGTGGCTCCTGGAGCAGGAGTTATGACTTGATCTCAGCTCGCCTTTGTCACGGGGCCTCATGCTCGGTCAAGATATTTGGTTCCCCGTGGTTACTCGAGGAGTTTCTCCTGTGTCACGTTCGTGAGATAATTCCTTTCGAGGAGTGCTCGGGAGACTCTCGGCGGGATGTGTTCGTTGAGTACACGAGGCAACCCTTGGGAACCGTGACGCCACCCTATTGAAGATAGAGTCATCATTGCCTAGGGAAGCTATGCATCGAGGAGGGGAAATTCGTGGTTCCCCGGGGTGACGTTTCGTATTCTACGTCATCACTATAAATAGGATCCTTGGGTCCCATAATATGTTTTTCCTCTTCACGCTTCTCCTCCTTCCTCTGTCTTTGCCGCTGCCGTTTTTCCAGACTTTCATAGGACCGCCGTGCTTTCCGCCGTCGATTTTCTTCTCCGCCGCCGTACCTCTTTCCTGATTTTCAAGTAAGCGTTTTATCCCTCATGTTTTTCTCAGTGGTAGGTGATTTTTCCCATTATTTGTATGTTAGAAAATCTGCGTCTGGGATTAGCCCCGGTACATTCGTATTCTTGCCCGGCATATTCATGTTTATGCCCGGTGAACGCATGTTTGTGCCCGGTAAACGTATAGTTTAGGTATGTGACTCGCAATGCTACCCGGGATATTCATGATTCAGGGCGCCTAATTCATGATATTGCCCGGTAAACTCATAGTTCTAGGTTTAGGATTCATGATATTGCTCGTCATATCCATAGCTTAGGTCGACGTACTCGTGACTGGCCGGGATGTTGGCCCATTTAGGCAGTATGTAGGACGACTCGTCGTGGCATCTTGGCGTCGGGGAGGTGACACCAAACTTTTGTTCGAATCCTCAACGTTTTAATCGTGTGTGGAGTATGACTCGGCTTGTCGTGCCATTCTTCCTGTCAGTTATGGCGAGCGTATGGATTTGCTCCCAAATTGACCGGTTTCTTGTGCTTTGCAGGTGAAATGGCTGATGAACCGTGTTCCTCGGTGCGCAACGAGGTGGGGGACCAAAGCACCAAGGAAAATGTGACTCTGATCGATACCATTGGTGATCCTTTGTTAGAGTGGGTGGGCGCCGAGCCCAGAGGGATTGCTTCTGCTTATAGTCGGCGCAGTCAGAGCGCGTACACTATCGTCGAGCAGGGCGGTAGTCAGCCGGGCTTCCAGAAAATTTTTGTTGTCACCCGACCGTCTCTTAACGCGCGGATCTGCTCGGAGTTCTCCGAGTACGGGTTTCCCATGTATGAGATCGTGTTTAAGGACCTCGGCCTAAAGCTTCCCTTAAGTGATTTTCAGGTCAGGGTCTTCAGTCATTTGGAGCTGGCCCCCTCGCAGCTTCACCCCAACTCGATTGCTTTTCTTCGGGCATTCGAGCTGACGTGTCGCTTTTTAAGGATTGGGGCGACCATACCTCTCTTCTTCAGAGTCTTTCATTTGCAGCGCCAGTCTCGGGGAGGTAGGCACAGTTGGGTTTCCCTGAAACAGTCGAAGAGGCTGTTCAGGATGTATATGGATTCTGTCCGGGGGTTCAAGGACAAATGGTATATCGTGCGACCGGTCACCCAGACTGCTCTAGATTTTGTATACAAGGAAGAAACTATGGTGACCGACAATCACAGGGAGCCTCTTATGGACGGTGAGGGTCGCCCGGTGTTGGGGCGCGTAGCTAAGTTTCCCTTGCACTGGAGCTCGCGCCACTACGAGCATGGCACCGGGCATTACCATACGCCCGCGGGAGGGATGAGCACCGAAGATGAGGAGGCCTACGGTACCCTCTGCAGATATGTCGACAGTTTCTTCCCTGCCCGGTGGGCCACGAGGGAGGGAAAGGAAATTCTCGACAAAGATGGTTACCCTACCTTTGAGGCCCGACCTATAGATACAAAGGCGCTGGTGGAGTGTCAGTCCTACGGGCAGGCCGCGAACCTGCTAGGTTACTTTTTGTCTTATAGTCTTGTTCTAATTTCTTCGTTTGTTACTTGCTCGTAACTAACCTGGGTTTTCTTTTTTGCAGGTCATATGGCCGGGCGAAAGGAGAGGCTTCTGAAGTTGACGCAGGATAAGAAAGTTAACAAAAGAGTGGTGCGGGCTCCTCAGGCGACGAGGATGGACCCGCCAACTAGTTCAGGTGATGCTTCTGGCGGGTCCCTGGACTCCCAAGATGTCGAGCAGCATGTTGATCTGATACCGAGGAAGAGGAACCGGGTAGAGAGCCAGCCGGAAGTCGGCGAGGAGTCTGGC